TTTAAATTTTTCAATCCGCATTCACAGCACTCTATCTTTATAATACGTCCTAGAACCATAAGTGATCTATGAAACTCAGTCAAAATGATAAATATTGAAGCAAAATGGAACAATCACACAACTGGGCAAGCAAATAATGTGAGAACGAAGATATCAATAAATATATATGTACTGTCTGGTGCTTCTGGAGGCATGCTTTCTGTTCCCTGTGTATGGGTAGCGTGCTTCCCTTTGATGCTACTATTCCAAAGGCTAAGCCATCTTGCTTTTATTTTTGAAAATGCGATGCCTGAAACAACAAGGATAGCGTTAGGCGAGAACTTGTTGGTGCAATTATGGGATAATTGATGTACAAACGATGCATGCTGGTTAATATTATAAATAACATTTATTTACTAAATTAGTAAATTAAGTCACTGACACGAATGACGCATGATTCATGCACGCACAAAGAGAATGAAGTAGAAATTATGAGAAACCAGTGTCCTCAATTAATCTCAAGAAATTCCATCCTTAACTAATTTGATAATACATGGTGTGGATATATTCACGAAAATTTAGAATTTTAAAGTTCAGAACTTCTTTGATAAGAATAACCCTACTAATTAATGGTAGATTCCTTCATTAATTAATTGTCGTACACATATTTAATACCATCCAACTTTTCACTAAAATCGATATCCCTTTTCATCTAAAGAAAACCTAGAATATTCACTCACCTTATCCATCAAACAAAACTTCGAAGGATGAAGTATCTGAGGATATACGAAGGACATATGAAGAATCCACGACTGAAGGGCACTGAAGAAATTTCTCACATATTATAATCTAACTTCGTACTTTTGGGGAGACATTTCAAGCATGTTCTCATTTCTGTTTCTTTAATACTCATTTATTTATTTATTTCCATTCTTCAATATGCATTCTCAGCTTTCTATATTTAAAGTATGCATGAGCACCATAAGTGACTTATGAAACTCAGTCAAAACAGTAAAGATTGACGCGAAATGGAACAATCACACAATTGAGCAAAAAACTTAAGTGACAATGAAAATATCTATAAATATAGGAATGGCTACGCTTTTTTTATGTGGGGGATTGTTATATATTTATACAATAAATATAATATTTGAAAGAAATAATTAATTAAGATGAAGTGCCCAACT